CCTTTGGACGTCATCACTTTCCAATCTCTCGCTAGTTAAGGAATACTCTGCATTTCTGCTTTTCTTATCAAAGTGGATAAGTTACAATTTTAAGAACACAAAAACACAAAAATGTAGGAGTAGGAGTAGGCCATCTGGCCCATCAAACCTGCTCTGCCATTCAATAAGATCATGGCTGATCTTTTCATGGATTCAGCTCCACTCACCTGTCTGCTCACCATAACCCTTAATTCCTTTACAGTTCAAAAATCCATCTATTTTTGCCTTAAAAATATTCAACAAAGTAGCCTCAACTACTTGACTACTCAGGGAATTCCAAAGGTTCACAACTCTTTGGGTGAAGAAGTTCCTCCTCAACACAGTCCTAAATCTGCTTCCCGTTATTTTAAGGCTTTGTCTCCTAGTTCTAGTTTCACCCACCAGTGGAAACAACCTTCCTGCTTCTATCATATTTTCCCATCATAATTTTATGTTTCTATAAAATCCCCCTTGCCATTCTTCTAAATTTCAATGATTATAGTCCCAGTCTACTCAATCTCTCCTCATAAGGCAAACCTCTCAACTCCCCCTCCTGTGCCAGTACATCCTTTTTTAAGTAAGGAGACCTAAACTTTTCCCTGTTATATTCCACATGCCATGTTCTTGTCCACTCACGTAGCATATCTAAATCCTCTTGAAGCCTCCTTGCATTTCATCACTGGTCTCATCAACACTAGCCTAACCGTACCCAATCAGCCCATGCTTGTAAAATTGCCAAAATATACAACATTAGATTTGAGTCTGCAAATAGACAACAAGAGTAGGCTTTACACATTCAGAAAGGCAAAATCACATTCAGAGTGAGACATAGCCCAACTGAGTATATAGCTTAGAGAATTTGGTGGCAACATGAGTAAATCTGTCTTTTCTTTCTCCATTTTAAAAAGTTTAAAATTCAGTAGTCTCTTGAAAAAGTTCTAAGGTAGCGTTACAAGGATTTTGCTAGGGTTGGAGGGTTTGAGCTATGGGGAGACGCTGAATAGACTGGGCTATTTTCCCTGGAGCATCAGAGGCTGAGGGGTAACCTTATGGAGATTTATAAAATCATGAGGGGCATGGTTGGGTAAACAGACTAGGTCTTTTCCCCAGGGTGGGGGTGTCCAAAACTAGAGGGCATAGATTTAAGGCGAGATGGGAAAGATTTCATACAGACCTAAGGGGCAACCTTCTCCCCACAGAGGGTGGTGCGTGTATAGAATGAGCTGCCAGAGGAAGTGGTGGAGGCTGGTACAATTACAACATTTAAAACGCATCTAGATGGATATATGAATAGGAAGGGTTTAGAGGAATATGGGCCAAATGGGACTAGATTTATTAAGGATATCTGGTTGGCATGGAAGAATTGGACCAAAGGGTCTGTTTCCATGCTGTACAGCTCTATGATTTTATGAATCCCTAGGTGGCAGTAACCGTAACATGGTAGAATTCACCTGGCAATTTGAGGGGGAGAACCTGGAATCAGATGCAAGTTTTACAACTGAGTAAAAATAACTACAAAGAGATAAGGCAGGAGCTGGCCAGAGTTGATTGGAAGGACAGTCTAGCAGGGAAGATGATGGAGCAGAGGTGGCAGGAGTTTCTGGTAATTTGGGAGGGACAGCAGAAATTCATCCCAAGGTAGAAGAAACATACTGGGGGGTGGAGGAGAGAAGAGAGAACAAGGCAACAATGGCTGACAAGGGAAATCAGGGGCAGCAGAAATGCAAAAGAAAAGACATACATTGTGATGAAGATTAGTGGGAATCTACAGGATTGGGGAACCTTAAAACCAGCAAAGGATAACTGGGTGAGATGAGATACAAGAGTACACTAACTAGTAATATAAAAGAAGATCGCAAGAGTCTTTTTAGATATCTAAAAGGGAAGAGAGAGACAAGACGGGACATTGGACCGCTGGAAAACAAGGCTACAGAAGTAGTAATGGGGAACAAAGAAATGGCAGAGTAACTGGATAGGTAATCTGCATCAGCTGTAACAATGGAAGACACAAGCAGTCCTAAACTGCAAGAGAATTGGAAGTAGAGGTGACTGTATTGGCCATCACTATGGAGAAGATGTTGGGGAAGCTGATGGTCTAAAGATGAGTAAATCACCTGGGCCAGATGGATTACATCCCAGAGTTGTAAAGGAGACCGCTAAAGAGATGATACAGGCATTTAAGGTGATCTTTCAAGAATCAGTTCAACAGGGAAGGTGACAGATGACCAGAAAATGGCTGTTGTAACACCTGGTTTAAGAAGTTTGGAGGGGAGAGAGGGGCGAGAAGAGGAGGGATGCAGAAGACAGGAAATTATAGCTGGTTAGCCTGACCTCAGTCGTTGGAAAGATTTGAGTCCATTATTAAGGATGAAATTGCAGAATACCTGGAAGTGCACATTAAAATAGGGCTGTGTCAGCATGGCTTCATCAAGGGAGGTCATGCCTGACAAATCTGTTAGAATTCTTTGAGGAATTAATGAGCAAGTTAGACAAAGGAGATCAAGTGGGTGCGATCTATTTGCAAATATCTGCAGGATTCCCCAACACCATGGTTGACAGTGCCCTCTGCTGTGTCCAACCTATTTGTCACACTTCTGCCCTCACCCTTCCTCCTTTCTCCAAAGACGGCCATAGGGTCCTTCTTGTACTCACCTATCATCCCACTCGTGTCCACATCCAAAGGATCATTAGCTGCCATTTCCACTATCTCCAGTAGGATGCCACCATCAGACACACATTCCCCTCCCGTGTCAGCCTTCCACAGGGATGGTTTCTTCCAGGACACCTGTGCCCACTCCCTACACCCCCAAGGCCACCTTCCCAGGCAATCGCAAAGGTGTAACATCTGCCTGTTTACTTTCTCCCTTCTCGCTACTCAAGGCTCTAGACTCACATTCTAAGTGAAAAAGCAATTTACCTGCACTTCACTCAATCTAGTCTACCTGTACAAAAACAAAGTTGCTGGAAAAGCTCAGGACTGACAGAACTGTGAAGAAAAAAAATGAGAGTTAACGTTTCAGGTCCGGTGATCCTTCTTCCGAACTAGAGTCTACCTGTATTCACTGCTCACAATGTTTTCTCCTGTACACTGGGGGGATGAAGTACAGACTAGGTGACTGCTTTGCAGTACACCTATGTTCTATCCACAAAAATGACCAAGCTTCCAGTTGCCTGCCATCTGAACACACCACTCTGTCTCCTGGCCAATATATATGTCTCAGGCTTGCTGTTGTGCTCCAATGAAACTCAGTGCAAGCTAGAGGAACAACACTGCAGTAATTTACTCCCACCTCATTTTCTGCTTGGGAATCCTGAACCCTCTGGACTTTAATATTAAAGTTCGAACATTTTAAGGCCTGAGCACCTTCTTCCATGTCCTGACTCTCCAGTCTCCACACACCAGATCTTGTCATCACATGGGTTGCTATGACAAACAACCCACTGTCAGCCACTAATGGTTGCCACTATTCATTCTCCCAGGCTGATCTTTACCCATTCCTTTGTCTGCCAAACTGTTTTTCTCCATCTCCACCTATAGTTTACTCCTTCCCCCTTTCCCCCACCCCTTCTTTAGCATAAATATCAACCTTTTCCTAGCTACAATCAGTTCTAAAGAAGGGTCAATAGACCCCAAAATGTTAACTGTGCTTTCTCTCCACAGATGCTGCCAGACCTGCTGTTTTACCAATAATTTCTGTTTTTATTAAGGATCATCTCGATGTTGGAATCAGGAAGCAAAGACCAGCAAAACGACTATCTAGTTTTTTTTTTAACCTCCATCAATAGTCTATTCTATTTGTCTGTGCACGTGTGAGCACGCTAGGGTCAAGTTGTGGTGGAAATTTAGTTACTAGTGTTCTACATCAATAATAAATAATAATTCTAGTTTCATATAGAAACCCAATCCATGCTTTTTATCCACCTTGGTCTGAAAGTCAGGTAAATTGTGGTATAGCGTATACCATTTTGAAAAAAATCTAAAGTTTAACATTTGACATTTAACTTCACCAGAAACAGTGGGGCTCAATTTACAATGTACTACCCCAGTGAGTCATCTACTTGCTGTAATACAGTCACACACACAATATACAAGAACATATGTACAATTCTTTAGGGCGTAGACAAGGTTGATGCTAGAGAATGCACATTATTCCAGGATAAAGAATCAAAATTTTGGACTGAGATAGGCAGCAGTCTCTTCGTTCAAAAGTTTGTGAACCATTGCTGTCCCCTGCCATAGAGGGTTGTAAATGCTCAGCTTAATATATTGAAGGAGAACGTCCAAAGATTTTCAGATATTAAGTCAATTTGGTATCCAGAAATATTGAGAGTTTACAGTTGAGATAGTTCATCCATGGTCAAGTTGAGGGATGAACAAGGGCAAAAACTCTCCTGCTGACATTTTTTTGTTGCTTTTAGCTCGGAAAACGAGGAATCCCCATTTTCCAGCAACATCATCCTGCCCAGCTGCCAGATTTGGTGGTTGGGGGGGTGGGGTTAAGGCGACTCGAGCTGCAGGAAGAACTCGCCCTCCCCCAAACCGATTGTGCCGGGTTTAGGATCTTACTGTGTGGTACTAGTGACCATACCCCAAGCCAAACGACATACTATCTTTGAATAGGTTGTTGAAAATTATCTAAAACTGTTTACAGGCCCAGGCCTGACCATGCAGAGTGTAAGTGTGGCTCACTGACCCATTCCCAACCCACCATTGGTCAGAGAAAACACATGAACAGCTCCGATTGGATACCAGGCCGTCAATCTACGAGGTTGACCAATCAGAGCCAATCTCCAGTGAACACCGCCTAATATTGGTTGCTCGGCCTGGGGATCAAGGTTCCGCGCCTTCTATTATTGTTCATCATGCCGTTTCGCTGCCTGCGATTGGTTACTGCAGTTGTCTATCATATAACCAACCGAGTACCCTCAATATCAACAGGTTTCACCTTCACATCTCATTCAATGTAGTGTAGTATCAATACCTGTGATAATCCTCCCAGCCGGCAACCCTCACTCGCTGATGGCGGCAGCCACGGCCAGACGGTGCTTAGGGAACGGAAATCCCACCTCTCTGCCGTAATTGGGAAACGCACTTCCGGTCCAGGCGCTGAATGGTTCAGTCGTCCGTCAGTCATCCACCGGCAAGGGGGTGGGGTCAGGATTCCTTTGTGACAATCATCATACCAACCGTTAGTTTTAAAATTCTAGCGTGCGGAAGGCGTCAACGCGTTCACCTCAAACCCTCAACCTTACCCACAGCTGCTCTCGACGCCTGACCCCGATTCTTTTGATCTGTGTAGATATTTTGGATTGGCATTTCTCTTTATCAGAAAGTCACTTGAATTCAAAAACAGATTACTTGCTGGAAAAACTCTGCGGGCCTGGCAGCATCTGTCGAGGCAAATCAGAGTTAACGGTTCTGGTCCAGACCCTTCTTCAGAACTGGAATCATTTGGGTTCTTGTAATTTTTGGGGTACATTTTAGCTTTTTTTTCCAATTCAGTAAGTTTAGCCGGATGGCTTAAAGTTTGGCTAGATAACGTGCATAAATTACTAAAAGGGAAAACATTATACAAGAAAATACGCTGTACTGCTAAGGTCACTGTGAAGGTCCTGCTTTCTCAACCTTATGTGGGGTGTGGTGACCCTCAGATTAAACTCGCAACCCAGTTGTTTTCCAGTAATGAGAGCAGCTCCCTGGGAATATGACAATTTTACCTTTCAGATCAACATTCTTACAGGTGGGTTTTCTCATGCTGTTGCAAGGAATTTAAACTAATTTGGTAGGAGATGGGTCACAGTGTTCAAACCATAGGGACACAGCATACTTTACTAAAGGAACCAAGGGTGTTCAGCCATGTTGTGTCTCAAGGAAGTTGGCAACGCTAGATGATCCCTACATTAATACTAGGAGTATTGTAGGTAAGACAGATGATTTAAGGGCATGGGTTGACACATGCAATTTTGCTGCCATCACAGATGTGGTCAAGGGAAGGGCAGGAACTGGCAATTGAACATTCTAGGGCATAGGATATTCAGGCAGGATAGACAAGGGTGTAAAAGTGGAGGTGGTGTCACGTTATTGGTTAAGGAGTCACTGCAATTAAGTTACTCCAGTAAGGTGGGATAATATCCTAGAAGACCTTTAAATGTAATTTTATGGGTAGAGTTTAGGAATAAAAATGGGTAGTCTCACTGCTGGGAATGTATTATAACAGGCAGTAGAGGAGCAGATATGTAGACAATTCACTGAGACATGTAAAAACAATAAGGTAATTATTGTATTAGAGGATTTCAACTTCCTTTACATTAATTGAGATGGTCATAATGTAAAGAGTTTAGAGGGGGCAGATTTCTTGACGTATTCAGAGGAACTTTTTATATCAAGGTCCAACAAGGGATGCTGCAGTGATGAATATTTCTGGGGAGCAGAGCCAGACAGCTGTTCAAGGTGGCAGTGGGAGAGCATTTTCATGATAGTGACCACAACATTGTACATTTTAATTTTTTATGGAAAAGAACAAAAATGGTCTGCAAAAGGAGTTATTGATTGGCAGAAGACAGATTTTATTAAAATAAGGCAGGATCTGGCCAAAGTATATTGGGAACAGCTACTCCTGCGTAAATCTACAGTAAAACATTCGGAGGCATGCAAAATGAATTGGCAAGAGTATAGACTTAACATATTCCCGTTACAGTGAAATGTAGGAGCAACAAGCCCAGACAACCATTGATGTCTGAGAATACTTAGGACTGGATAAGATTGAAAAGAAAGCAAATCAATGCAGGCCCGAGTGGAGTATAAAAAGTGCGAGGGTGAAATCAAGAAAGCAATCAGAAAACAAAGAGGGTGCATGAGAAAACCACAGGCTGGTAAGACTAAGGTAAATCACAAGACATTTCATAATTATATCAAGGGGAAAAGGATAATCAGGGAAAGAATCGGCCCATTCGGGACCAAGGAGGCAAACTGGAGGAGCTGGAAAACATTGATAGGGTGTTAAGTGAGTACTTTGTATCTTGGTCAGAGGATGTAGGTACAGAGTTTGGGAAGTGAGACTGTGAGGTTTTTAAGAAGTTTGACCTAGGGAGTTAAGGAAGTCTTGGAGGCTTTGATGGGCTTAGAAATTGACAAATGCCCGGCTCCAGATGAGTTTAGCCCAGGCTGCTCTGGGAGATGAGGGAGGAAATTATAGACCCAAATTTTTTATTTCTTTCTGGCTACATCAGAGGAGCATAGGAGACTTAGGAATTAGGAGCAGAAGGAGGCAATTCAGCCCACTCCACCATTTAACATGATCATGGCTGATCTGACCCTGGTCTCAACTCCACTCTCCTGCCTGCTCCCCATTGCCCGTTATCCCACTTTTCATCAGAAACAAATCTATTTCTTTCTTGAATCTGTTGATTGATTCTGTCTCCACTACAATCTGGGGCAGAGTTCCACAGAATCACAACCACCTTATCTCAGTTTTGAACCTACCTCCTCTCACTCTGTATCTATGACCTCTTGTTCGAGACTGTCCCATAAGGAGGAGCATTCGTTCAACATCCACCTTATCAATCCGCTTTAGGATTTTATATACCTCAATCAGATCCTCCCTCATTCTTCTGAACTCCAGGAGTACAAGCCCAAGCTATTCAATCCCTCCTCATATGATAGCCCTTTCATCCCTGGAATGATACACTTTAGAAGAAGTAATGAGACAAGGGAATATTTAATGAAGAACACCAGGAAGCTCAAAGAACAGAAGGATCTTGGAGTGCTTGTTCACAGATCCCTGAAGGCGACAGGACAGGTTAATAAAGTTAGTTAAGAAGGCATATGTGACACTTGCCTTTATCAGCCGTGGTAGAGATTACAAGGGCAGGGAAGTCACGTTGGAGCTATACATGACTTTGTTTAGGCCACAGCTGAAACTGTGTGTGCAATTCTAGTCACCGCACTCCAGGAAGGATGTGATTGCACTGGAGGCGATAGAGTCATACAGAACGGAAACAGGCCCTTTGGCCCATGCTGACCAGGTTTCTTAAACCGAACTAGTCCCATTTTTTTGAGATTCACCAGGATGTTTCATGGCTAGAGCAGTTTAGTAATGAAGAGAGGCTGGATAAGCTCAGGTTGTTTATAGCAGAGAAAGCTGAGCAGGGATCTGACAGGTGTATAAGATTGAGGGGTATGGATTGGAAGCAGCTGTTATCCTTAGTTGAAACGTCACTAACAAGAAGGCATAATTTTAAGGTGAAAGGCTGAAGGTTTAGAGGGGATTTGTGGAATTTTTTTTTCACCTATTGGGCAGCGGTAATCTGGAATGCACTGCCTGGGCAGATAGTTGAGTCAGGAAAACTCATGATCATTAAAAGGTACTTGGAAAAGCATTTGAAATGTCATAAACTTCAAAACTATGGGCCAGGTATTGGAAAGTGGGACTAGTAGGTTTAGTGTAGTTTTTTTCTGTCAGTGCAGACTCGATATGCCAAAGGTCTCCTATAGAATGATTCTCTGAAAATTACTTATGTGATTATATAATAATTATAATGAATGCAATAAAAAGCCACAAGGATAATTGCTTGATTAGTAACTAATTGTATTAGCCAGTTTTGGTCATTTTTTTTGAACGTGACTACTTTTTAATCTTGTTAAGTGTGATAACGTTTTTATTTGTTGAATGCTTTACTTCCTTTGTTACTAAATGGTAGGCATTGTGTTTTTTGATTATATATATCAAGTCTCATTGTTGACATCTTTCCATTCTAAGTACCTTTCCAGGTATTGTATGAGTGTATAAATAGTGTTGCTGTAACCAAGCATGTGCTAGAGAACATTGGTTTAAGCAAACCCTTTATTCCCTCCTAATCAAGATGCAAACGATGTATAACACATGGTGTAAATATATTATGTGACTACTGCTATTTAATTTTTTTTAGGAGCAGGAGTCCTCTAAAACATGAAAGCAAAAAAATCCAAAGAAGGCAATTTTCTTTGTATTTGGTTTCTGTAGTTCAGCAGGAAACCAGATGGAACTGGATTTGTACTCCCCTGAGAATGCAGTACAGAGAGATATACATAGGCAGTGCTAAATCCGAAACACCTGACGCTGAGGTTAGTATTAGATGTAGATATGAACCTTCTTAAGGTTTTAACGAAAATTTGTAGCTCGGGTTGTGGATGCTACCCTACATCAAAAATATATCAGAAATGACTACCAGACTCCTAAGGCCGCATAAGATCATGATTGCACACAAACCTACAGCAATACTGCGCCAAATGTTATCAAAGACTAAAGACCCCATACTGACAGTAAACAAGATTAACATGATATAGAGAATACCATGAAGCGAGTGCAATAATTATTACATTGGACAAACAGGGAAGAAACTGATGACTGGGATACACGACCACCAGCCGGCAGTAAAAAGACATGACCAATATTCACTTGTCTCAATATACACAGACAATGAGGGCCATCAGTTTGACCGGGACAAAGTGACCATACTGAGACAAGTGAACACCAAACATGCAAGGGAATTTCTGGAAGCCTGGTTCTCAACACGGGACTCCATTAAAAAACACATAGAAATAGAGCCTGTATACAGACCGCTGCTAAAACAACAAAACCGGAAGCGACAAGACCATCACACCAGAGGATCATATAAATCCAGAAGGAAGCAGAACACCAATGCATCGATTAGAGGTCACACTGATGATGTTGCCTAGAAAGGTAACAAAACTTCTGCACACCACAGAACAACGGCCTTGGCGAGCTAACAAACAACTGCATATGAACCTTCTCTGTTTGTGTAGTATCTGGTGGTTGTAAAAATAACTTACCAATATTAAATTATTTTACTTCAGTATTTATTCCAAAACTTAGAAATCAAGAATCATACAAAAAAAAAATACAGATTGTAAAGAATAATTTACATCTGAAAGCAGGTTTGGAAAATGTCATGTTGATTCAACTTCAAACATCAGAACAAGCCTTTTGGCCATTTTAACACTTTACTTCTGCCTACATAATTTTTGTTGTTGTGGCTATTAAACTAACTTTATTCGATCAACTAGAGTTGAATCATGCCACTAGCTCTTGCTTGCTGTGGGTTAAATGGTTGGGGCATGTTCACAGTTGAAACTCTCACTTGATGTATTTCCAGTTCCAGCTGACAGTAGTATGCTAGGAAAGCCTATTGAATTTCTTTTTTCCAATGTAAATGTTCCTGCTCACTTTTCATTTATTAGGTCCAGCAAGCACTGAGCTGGAGTCTCTGGAAGTAAGAGATCCTTGACCAGAGCGGCTGAATGCCAGGGCACTCCTCCCTTGTACTGTTCACTTTATTCAAGCTCATCCTGCATAATTTCCTCCTTTTTTCCTCATTTGTTGACCCACCTGAGCCAAGGACCAAGAAAATACTACTTAAGCTTCAATCAGCAATACCCTTTGTACAAGTTGAAACAAGTTTATTGTGCTAATACACTTTTGCTACATACATCTTGTTATTCTTCGATCTTAGAAATATGTATGTAAATTTAAAGTATACTGAGTTAAAAGGTGGAAGAAGCCTTAGCACCACTCTGTCTGGTTGCATGTATTAGCAGTGGAATGCAAGATTTCTGAAACCATGGAGGGTTAATTTGGCGGATATTAGGCTAAAGAGAATGTCCCAATCGAAACTCACTTTCAGCAGACACCTTTTTAAATGTACATTGAAGGAAATGGAGAGCCAATTGTTAAATTTAAAGCAGTAAAAACAATTAGATCTTTTACTTAATTCTGCGCATTTTTACTATCTTTTGCAATAGGTAACTAAGTTGCTTTATCTGCCTGACCGTCTGGGGATAGTGGTCTGATACAGGGATTTACCAAGAGCTTCGAAGAATGTGATCGTCATTTCATCTGAGGTGATCTCTACATAAACAAAGCCTCCCAAAGAGCTGATGTCTGCATAGAAAAATTTAAGCCACTCCTTTGGAACATGGTCCTTGTGCTTCGTTGAGTTTTCCATGAAGTTTCCAGCTCCACTTAGGACGTAGCCAATACCATTGCTATCCTGAATAAACTAAAGTAAGGGGAAAATTTAAAAAAACTTGTCATTTTATGAATTGCATCCAATACTTGAAATGTCAATGTAAGTATATTTTATGGGCACGACAACTCCCCACCCCGATCCACCCTCACCCATTTATTCTGTGGATAAACTCAGTAAAGCAGAGATATTCATTTAAAAATTCATTCATGTGGACAATAGGTGTTGGGCTCATGAGGCATTTGATACGGTGCCACACAGAAGGAAAATATGCAAGATAAATGCTCATGGAGTTCTTTTTTCATTCATGCATGGGATTTGGGCATCACTATATGGGTATTATTTCCCCCCACACTAATTTCTCTTGAGAAGCTGGTGGTGAGCTCTTTGAACCACTGCAGTCCGTGTACCACATTGCTGTTAAGAAAAGAAAGCCAGGATTTCGATCCAGCAATGCTGAAGGAATAGTAATATATTTCCAAGTCAGGACGGCGAGTGGCTTGGTGGGGATCTTGGTGATATTCCCATTTTTCTTTTGCCCTTGTCCTTCTAGATGGAAGTGGTTGTGGGTTTGGAAGGTGCTGTTTAAGGTTCTTTAGCGAATTTCTTCAGTGTACCTTCTAGATAGCACACACTGCTGCTGCTGAGCGTCAATGGTGGTGGGAGTGAACATTTGTGCATGTGGTGCCAGTACAGGGAACAGCTTTGTCCTGGATGATGTCAAGCCTTTTGAGTGTTGTTGAAGCTGCACTCATCCAGGCAAGTTGGGATTATTCCATCAGACTCCTGACTTGTGCCTTTTAGAATGTGGAGAGGCTCTGGGGAGTCAGAAGATGAGTTACCCACTGCAGGATTCTTAGCCTCTGACTACTTATATGTCAGTACTGAGCAGTAATAAGACCATAAGAAATAGGAACAGGAGTAGGCCATTCAGCTCCTTGAGCCTGCTGTACTATTCAACATGATCATGGCTTATCTGACATTCCTCACATCCACTTTCCTGCCTCTTCCCTTAACCTTTGATTCCCTTACTAATTAAAGATCTCTCAGCCTTAAATATCCACAAGAACCTGACACCACAGCTCTCTGTGACAAGAAGTTCCAAAGACTGTCAACCATCAGGGAAGAAATTCCTCTTTATCTCAGTCTTAATCTCGCACCAATTAAGTCTGAAACAATGCCATCTGGTCCTAGACACTCCCATGAGGGGAAACATCCTCTCAGCATTTTCCCTGTCAAGCCCCTTAAGCATCCTATGTTTCAATGAGATCACCTCTCATTCTTCTTAACTGCAGAGAGTGGAGTCCCAACCTGTTTAGCTTTGATCATAAGACAATCCCTCCATTCCAGGGATCATGCTGGTGAACTGCGTACAGTTCTGGTCGCCACATTACCAAAAGGATGTGGATGCTTTGGAGAGGGTGCAGAGGAGGTTCACCAGGATGTTGCCTGGTATGGAGGGCATTAGCTATGAAGAGAGGTTGAGTAGATTAGGATTATTTACATTAGAAAGACGAAGGTTGAGGGGGGACCTGATTGCGGTCTACAAAATCATGAGAGGTATAGATAGGGTGGATAGCAAGAAGCTTTTTCCCAGAGTGGGGGACTCAATTACTAGGGGTCACGATTTCAAGGTGAGAGGGAAAAAGTTTAAGGGCGATATGTGTGGAAAGTTCTTTGCGCAGAGGGTGGTGGGTGCCTGGAACACGTTGCCAGCGGAGGTGGTAGAGGCGGGCACGATAGCGTCATTTAAGATGTATCTAGACAGATACATGAATGGTCAGGGAGCAGAGGGATATAGATCCTTGGAAAATATGTGACAGATTTAGATAGAGGATCTGGATCGGTGCAGGCTTGGAGGGCCGAAGGGCCTGTTCCTGAGCTGTAATTTTCTTTGTTCTTTGTTCTCTGAACTGCCTCCAATTAAATTATATCTTCCCTCTTCCCTTAAATAAGAGGACCAAAACTGCGAACAGTACTCCGGATGTAGTCTCACCAGCACCTTGTACAGGTGCAGTAAGACTTCCCTACTCTTATATTCTAACCTCCTTAAAATAACGCCCAATGTTACCTGCTGAACCTGTGTACTAGTCTTCTGTGTTTTGTGTATAAGCACTCCAAAGTCCCTTTGTGTTACATTTTTGTGCAGCTTTTTTCCATTTAAATAATTCTCTGTTCTCTTGTTATTCCTTCCAAATGAACAACTTCACATTTTCCCACATTATACTCCATTTTCCAACTTTTTGCCCACTCAATCAAATTATCTCTCTAAACTGTTTATATCCCCTTTCACAACTTGCCTTTCAATTTATTTTTGTGTCACCTGCAAATTTGGCCACAGAACACTTGCCTCCTTCCTCCAAGTCAACAACTGGCAACATTTACTACAATATTTATATTCAAATAGACTGTCTCTACATAGTATGGAAGCCCTTTGTGAGGGTGGGTGAATGAACAATCACTCATATTGACCTTTATCTTGGCATTCATTTGCTTGCCACTATTGACTGCTTCTTACCTGAAGGTTGTGGTCATGCCCACAGAAGTAAGCGCTGATCTTGTATTGAGTGAGGAGAGGGTACAGTTTTTTTACCAGACATCTGGTGGGTCCATGCTCAGCTATTGACCAAACTGGGTAGTGTCCAGCAACAATCAGGAAATCTGATCTGTAGGAAACAAGAAAGGGAGCTGGTCACTTTACACAGTGAATAAAACATAGAAAATATTATGAAAAACAGAAACAGCATAACTAAACATCTTTAATTCATCCTGAGACACACATCTCAAGGCATTTATGCAAAGGAAATGGATAGAAATGAATAATTATAAAGGCTTGATTGAATGAAATTAAAAATTATAGATCCAGTGGTTAAATTAAAGCTGTAGAGATTTTGGTTAAGGAGTTTTAGAGGGTATCATCAAAATGACTAAAAGCCGCTAACATGAGTCCCTGATTCAGGTCTTTTTTGAATGCTATCATTGTGCCAATCTTACAGCTATACCTTCATCTTTTTGGATCTAACATTCTCAGGAATTCCGTCTCTAATTTCCAAGACTGTCTTTCTTCAAGTCCCTGTTAAACACTGTGTCTTTGACCAGGTTTTTGGTCATCCATTAAAAAAGGGGAAAGTCATCAGCAGGAGGTCGTTGTACATTTTGAAACCAACAACATAGAATTGAACTGTATAAGGAGAACAGGTTGCATCTGAATTGGAAGGGGACTAATATACTGGCAGGGAGCTTTGCTAGAGTTATTCAGGAGGATTTAAACTAGTGGGGTTGGGAGTGTGGCTTGTTAAACCCAGAGAAATTGTGAGAAAAGAGATCAGTCTGAAACTGGGAAAAGGAGCAAGTCAAACAGTCAAGGCAGGCAGGAGCAAGACAAAGAACAAGGTAGGACGGATAAATTAAAATGTTATTTTAATGCAAGAGGGCTGACTGGTAAGGCAGATGAACTCAGGGCATGGTTGGGAACATGGAAATGGGACATCATAGCTATTACAGAAATCTGGTTCAAGGATGGACAGGACAGGCAGCTTAATGTTCCAAGGTATAGATGCTCCAGGTAGGATAGAAAGGAGGCAAGAGGAGGAGGGTCAGTGGCATTTTTGATTAGGAATGTCATTACGGTTGTACTTGGGGAGGATATTCTGGTGAGTATGTCCAGTGAAGTTATTTGGTGGAACTAAGAAATATGAAAAGGATTATTACTTTATTGGGATTATAGTATAGACTGTGGAATAGTCAGCGGAAAATTGAGAAGCAAATTTGTTATGAGATCTCATTTATCTGTAAGAATAATAGGGTTTTAATCGTAGGGGATTTTAACTTTCCAAACATAGACTGGGACTGCCAAAGTGTTAAGGGCTTGGATGAAAAGGAATTTGTTAAGTGTATACAAGAAAATTTTGTTATGCAGTATGTGGATGTACCTACTAGAGAAGGAGCAAAACTTGACCTTCTCTAGGGAAATAAGGCAGGGCAAGTGACTGAGGTGTCAGTAGGGGAGCACTCTGGGGCCAGCGATCATAATTCTATTAGTTTTAAAATAGTTATGGAAAAAGATAGACCTGATCTAAAGTTAAAGTTATAAGTTGGAGGAAGGCCAATTTTGATGGTATTAGGCAAGTACTTTCAAAAGTTGATCGGAAGTGAATATTCACAGGTAAAGGGTTGGCTGGTAAGTGGGAAGCCTTCAAAAAAAATGAGATAACAAGAGGCCAGAGACAGCAAGTTCCGGTCAGTGTGAAGGGCAAGGCTGGTAGGAAGTGCTGGATGACTAGAGAAATTGAGGCTCTGGTCAAGAAAAAGAAGGAAGCATATGTCAGGCATAGACAGCTAGGATTGAGTCTATGCCTGGAAGAGTACAAGGGCAATAGGAGTATGCTCAAGAGGGAAGTGTTCATTTGTGGGATGTGGGCGTCGCTGGCTGGCCAACATTTCTTGCCCATCCCTAGTTGCCCTTGAGAAGGTGGTGGTGAGCTGCCTTTTTGAACCGCTGCAGTCCTCCTGCTGTGGGTTGACCCACAACGCCATTAGGGAGAGAATTCCAGGTTTTTGACCCAATGACAGTGAAGGAGTGGCGATATATTTCCAAGTCAGGATGGTGAGTGACTTGGAGAGAAACTTGGACGTGATGGTGTTCCCATATATCTGCTGCCCTTGTCCTTTGAGATGGAAGTGGTCGTGGGTTTAGAAGGTGCTGTCTGAGGATCTTTGGTGAATTTCTGCAGTGCCTTGTAGATAGTACACACTGCTGCTACTGAGCATCGGTGGTGGAGGGAGTGAATGCTTGTGGGTGTAGTGCCAATCAAGCGGGCTGCTTTGTCCTCGATGGTGTCAAGCTTCTTGCATGCTGTTAAGACTGCACTCATCCAGGCAAGTG